TGCTGCTTGGCCTGCTGTGTTCATCCAGCTCTACACCTTGCTATTTATGACTAATTGCTGGCTGTGTTCTTTTCATTCATTAAAACATAAGCTACTCAACTAACCAATGCATATGAACAAAAATAACTGTCATCAAATGAAGCAAATCATTCATATTTAAGCATATTCTTTGCACAAACAGGTAACAAATATTCCAGTTTGATTTGAGTGACAGGGAATTGCAGCTGACATTCACTTTAGCTTTTACAACAAAATCATCAGTCCAGATCAATAACATGGTGCAGTGGAGACACAGGCAACTGGACAGAATTGGAAAAATACAACATTGATTAGGTCTGATGAAATGTAAAGGCTGGTTGACACCTGTTTATTTTGCAGGCAAGGTAGAAAGACGACATGGGAACATGAGAAATGTGTTTCCCTTTCTCTCTGTAAATCTTCATTCAACCAGTGTTTGCCATAGTATCTTCCAAATGCCCTGCCAATCATACCAGTAGCCTAAGTGTGGAAACTCTGAGATGTTGAGCTACAATACCACATTGTTTGTGTGTGTGCAAGAGGAAGGGAGAGTGAGGGTGTGGGGGCAAAGACAGAGAAAGAGGGGGAGGGGAGGAGAGGGAGTGAGAGAGAGAGAGAGAGAAACTACTTTATTTTTTTCTCTTATTTTATTGCTTGCCCCCTCTCTCTTCATTTTTGGGGAAGAGTAGAATCACTACTCAGAGAACCATAGAATCCATACATTTGTGGTAACAGGCCATTTGGGCCATCGAGTCCACACCGACCCTCTGAAGAGCATCCCACCCAGACCCACACCCTTCCCTATTCCTGCATTTCCTACCCTAGACACTACGGGCAATTTAGCATGGCCAATCCAACTAACCTGCACATCTTTGGACTGTGGGAGGAAACCAGAGCACCTGGAGGAAACCCACACAGACACAGGGAGAATGTGCAAACTCCACACAGACAGTCACCCGAGGGTGGAATTGAACCTGGGTCCCTGGCGCCG